ACTGTACATAACACATTATATTATGTGATTTATCTGTGTAAATGAAGGTTGAATGAATACAAGATACATCAACATATATTGTACAAATAAAGAATACTTCATGTTTATAAATAAGTGTATGTTTTGTGTTTTTATAGTAGGCAGATCACTTTGACGTGGTCATTTTAAAAGTAGCTCGCATGCTGAAAAAGTGTGGGCACCCCTGGTTTGAACTCTCCCTATGTTTTACGTAGACGTTAAATTATTTTGGTTCCGAGTCCTACATCTCATAGTGCACAGACTTAAGTGATTTCTTTGAATGCTGTGATATAATGAAGCCTTTTCATGGTTCCCACCAGTTTTTTAGCCGAACAAACACTGTCCTGCAGCTCTGCAGGGGTCCTGGAAGAACCAGCAGGAGCTCCCCCTCTCTCTGTCTCTCCGATCCAGAGTTGGGGATTCCTACTTCAGCTGCCAGCTCGCAAACTCGAAGTGGTTTCTCTCAGCAATTTTCTCTGGTTTGGCAACGACAGAAAACCACATGTGAGACGTTGTATCCTGATACTTTAAAACCTCAGATCCGGACCGCTCGTTGGACCAGCGGAGTACAGGAAGTGTAACGCAAGAAACTGATTTCTGTCTCTTAGCAGGGGCTAATCGATGATCTCTGACTTAAGATGGACCCTGGACTCATTTAACCCTAATAATCCCTCGCTCAGCTTGGTTTAAGAGGATTAACGCGGCTGCTGATATTGAAAACGTGTCGGATGTGTCAACCTCATTTGACAGGGATTATTTAAAACCAATATTCCTGCTTTCTTGCAACATATCTTTATACTTAGCAGAGTTTTTTAGTGGGCCTTCCAAGAGTTTAACATGGTCTTTGGAATTTAGCCGATTGGATTTTCAGACCCTATCTTTAAACAACGATACATTAATTTTCACATCTGAGCAGTCTTTGAAGGGTTGCATATTACCTGTGAAGGTAAACCACACCTAATCTTGTTTTATTTCTAGAAAAGTCACTGAGCTATGGCCAATTTAGGGTTGGCCAAGATTGATTAGCCGTGCATCGGGCGATGATGAAACTTACAGAAGCTCGTCTTAACAAAGCATTCCTATGTCCAACAAGACTCAAGAATCCAAAACAGGACTCCTCACGATCAGCGGTAAAGTTGAGAAACCACTGAGAAACAGCTGAGGAAGATTTGTCAGACACTTAAAAAAAAAAACTGCAGTGAGTCGTCCAAATTTGCAGTTACATAACGCTCAAAGTATTTGCAGGAGTCTGTGACGAACATCCAAGCAACAGGCGAACGCACAACAGAGTGCGTCAGTAAAACGCCACAACGCTCCCCAGAACTGGGTCACATTACATATTTTGTGGCGTACTGAATTTTTAAAAATCAGTGGTGTGTTTTTTAATTAGATTTAGTCTTTACCTGTGTATTTTCTTGCCATTGGAGAGGTTGTGATTGTGTGTTTGTGTGAGATGAAAGCATCGCCTTGAGGTTTCTGTGACTCATGTATCACTTTTTACCCAGTTGCGTTGTTAAATCTGACACTGAACCGAACGTGCTTTGTTCAGACACCTCTTCTTAACTTTCAGGTTTTACTTAGAGGTGTATAAATCATGTTTGCCTACTTACTCTAATCATTTCAATGCCAGTGAACCCAATTAGGCACCTGGTTTTTTACCATGTTCTACCATCAATACAGCTGATAAACAAGAAAAAAACGTTGAGCCAGTCCAGGATTTCACTGTGACTTTTCTGTCTTAAACTAGTTATACAGCTGCTAATGGTCAGTTTATGGTAAAGTTCATATCAACCAGTATTTTGGGAGGTAAATACGTTGGGTATTAATAACACCTGGTTAAAAAATATACCAAGAGGGGAAATCGATTAAAAAAAGAGAAGAAGATGGCTATGACTGCACAACTGATGATAGCATTAAGGTAATTGTTAACTTGATAAAGCCAATATGTCACTGGGCTGTGATTATCCACGACTAGTTTGTCATTTTTGCGTGGGTGTCTAGAACCTACCTAGAACCCTTTTCAATTTTGTCACGAACATTTTAAATCCGTCTCAGACACTTCTCAGTTTTGTTGCTGGTGTCTAGAACCCATGTTGAACTTTTCCTAATGTTGTGGGGACATTAAACATGTCTCAGCTTTGTCGAGAACCCATGTTGAAATCTTAAGTTTTTTCACGTCACTGTTTCCCTACCATTATTCAAGTGGGACGCCCTATTCCCCCCCCCCACTCCCCATCTCCCCCGGTTGACAACTTTGGTATTGATGTAGCGCAGGGTGCAATACAAACATGCTAGCTAGCAAAAATGCTACTGTCGACCGGCAGCAACGTAACACTAGGCTAGCGGGCAGGCTACACACATGTGACTTTGTCCCGTATCTCCCCTCTTTTAATTTATCATGCGATTAATTGATTTATTGTTTATCGTGACAGGCCTAGTTCCATGTGTCTCAGACCCATTTTGAACCTATCCTAATTTTGTTGCTGGCATCCTGAACCAGTTTCAAACTTTTCTCAGTTTTACGTAAATTCTAGAGCTGTATTTTGAGCTATGTGGAGCTCTTCTATAACTGAAAACATTCAAGGTTACACCCCTGAAAGTCCAGCTGTAAATACCACAACTATGATAAGTAATTAACTGATTGCTAAAGTCTGCCTGTTTTAATTTTGAAATAGTTCTCAAGTTTCCTGATGCATGCTGAATAATCCAGGTATATAAATCTAACAAGGTCCTCTGGAATCCATCCAGAGGACCTGACTTAACCTTGTTAGAGTTCTCAAGTACATATAATAATAATAAGCATAAGAGAGGCTGACAAGGTGGGAACAAATCGGGCTTAAGTGGTTATGACAGAAGTAGAGGTGGACATAAAATGAGGTGCATGGCCTAGAGTATGGTTTTGTAGACGCATAACAGCTGCAGGTTGAATTAATTTCTTTTGTACTTTTTGCAAACAGTATTTGTGGTTTCTATGGTCGTTGCCTTTCTGAATATCTCATCCTGCTTTCACTCGGTCCGTTTGAGGTCAGAAGTCTCTGAAGGCCTGCTACTCTGGGATTTTTAAGTCTAGTGAAAATGGGCAAATTGAAACAATTCCTGTGACTGTCACAGCAAGGTTTTATTTATTTAATTTATTTATTTTACCACCGGCTCCTGGTAGATGCCAAGCTCTTTGCCATCTGTGCTTTTCCAGTTGGGGAACTGGTTCTTCTGCTGGAGGTTTCTTCCTGGTGAAAGGGCGTTTTTCCTTTCCACTGTTGCCTTTGTGCTTGCTCAGGATGGGAGACGTAGACAAAGTGAAGATTCAAAGCAATCTGATGACTTCCTTAGATAACTTTTACTAACTGGCTTTAATAAAGTATGTGAATGTTTCTGTACAGTGCCCCGAGATAACTTCTGTTGCGACTTGGCGCTATATAAATAAACTGAAATGAATTGAATTGAAACAGGCTTCAGGCGCAGAGACATGTGCTACAGCTATTTCTACTAGAACTGGATCTTATTATTATTATTTTTTTACTTAGTTTAGTTCAGAAACTGCTCTAAATTGGTGTAAACCTTATTTATCTGATAGAGTCCAATTTGTAAATGTAAATAATGAATCTTCATACACCAAAGTTAGTCATGGAGTTCCTCAAGGTTCAGTGCTCGGACCAATGCTCTTTACCTTGTATATGCTTCTATTAGGTTATGAAACAGCATAAATAAATTTTCATTGTTATGCTGATGATATACAGTTATATTTGTCCATGAAACTCAATGAATCCAATCAGCTACTTAGACTACAAGCATGTCTTAAAGACAAAAACCTGGATGACCTTGAATTTTCTCCTTTTGAACACAGACGAGACTGAGGTTTTAGTTTTTGAACTTGAGCATCTTAAAATTATCTTAATTTTTTCAGTGGCATTAATCTGTCCTCCAGCTCTAATGTTAAAAATCTTGGTGTTATTTTTGATCAGGACATGTCTTTTATCCCCCACATTAAAAACGTAACTAGAACTGCCTTCTTCCACCTGCGTAAACTAAAATTAGAAACGTCTGATCTAAAAACGATGCAGAAAAACTGGTTCATGCATTTGTCACGTCTAGACTGGACTATTGTAATGGTTTATTATCTGGGTGTCCAAATACTTCTTTAAAACGTCTTCAGTTGATCCAAAATGCTGCTGTCAGAGTCTTAACTGGAGTTAGTGGGAGAGATCGTATCTCCAGTTTTAGTTTCTCTCCATTGGCTCCCTGTCAAGTCCAGAATAGAATTCAAAATTTTACTTCTAACCTACAAAGCTCTCAACAACCTAGCTCCATCTTATAGTACAGATGTTATTGTTCCATATTTTCTTCACAGAACACTTCGCTCTCAGACTGCAGGCTTACTCGCGGTTCCTACAGTTTTTTCCAAGAGTGCTGACAGTTGTGCACGAGGAAAGAAGTAAACGCACTTTATGTTTAGAGCAGTGGCTGATGGGTGGACGAGGAACGGAGGAGAGGTTTGCTTTTTTTTTGTTGTTATATTTTGTGCACATCGTTTGGTATTTCAGCCGTTTATGTAAATACAAAGAAGCTACATTGCATGAGACTTTTTCTGTCTGCTGGAGATGGATTACAACTTAAGGACAAGCCACGTGGGAACGAGAGCGATTTGCCTTTTCAGCTCTGAAGCGTTTCTTTTCTCGGGAATTCTCAGCTGGAGTGTGAGCACTTTAAAGCTATAAAAAGTGCTGTCACCGTGCAGGTTCAGAGCGTGGATTACTGATTGTGCTGCAGCTGCGGAGCAACACGTTCACATCTGAGCCTTCCTCGCATGAGGGGGAATAAATAGACGCGATGAAAAAGCCCGACACGAATAACTGATTTAGTCTCCGGTCGCCGTCGGGCGTCGTTCTCGCCGTCTCTGCTTTTTAACGCACGCAGGCAGGTCTTCCCAGACGCTTCGCATTTTGAATTTAAATGTCCTCGTCTGTCTTGCGCTCCACCTCCAGGTTGATGTTTCCTCGCCAGCCTCCTGACCGATCCCCCGCAGCTCGGTGAGAGAGCGAACCGGGTTCTGCTGCGTCTGCCAGCGGTCGAGCAGAGCAGCCGCCCTGTTGCCTGGAGCCCCGTGGTCTCGGCAGGACCGCATCGCCATGGATACCGAGTCCACCTACTCGGGCTATTCCCACTACTCGGGGCGCTCCCGGGGATCCCACAGGCACGGGTAAACCTAAACACGGCTCATTAATTATTGATCTCTCTGTGTCTGGACTGAAATGTTTGATGTAAAACATTTTGTTTTCTTCTTGCTCTGTTACTAAACCTGCGTTTATTAATGTCTTGAGTATTAAATGACCGTCTTTTTTGTTTAGTCGCAACAATATACGATTCATTTATTGTATGTGAGTTGATGTGGTGCAGCGTCTAAAGATATATCTTTATTTTCTTCTTACCAGAATGTTTTCCCCATTACAGTGGAGTCCGATAGCCGAAGCTGCAGTTCAGCTAATGTTAAACTGTTTGTTTGTTTGTTTGTTTGCTTAAGCCCTGATCAATACATGATTGGATTATTTCAGGTTTTTGTTGGGAATAGCTTAAACAACATTTAGCATTTCTCTAAACCATTTCTAAGAAGACAAATTAGCCAAATGTCCAAATTGTTCCCTGAAGCAGTACAAAGGATTGGCGTTTTAAGCAAAAATACATTAAATTGTACTGTTTATCATTTAATTATTGATTATTTTACCCAGAGAAATAGCATTACTAGCAAAAATGCTGTACAAATGCTGAAACTTGCTAATAAGAGTTGTTAAAGGAAAAAATAAACAAGACACTAGCTAAAAATTTACAAAAGGCAAAGCGTTTGCTAAAGCTCGAATGATCAAGACACTTGTTTAAGGATAATACTAGTAAAACTTTGCTAAAAGTAGCAAAACTAGCTAAAACCTTAAAGCAGAAAAATGCTAGCTAAAAGCTTGAGTAGCAAAAATGGAACTAAAAGCAAAACGTACCAAAAGGCGAGATAAAAGTATCAAAAGAATAGCAACAACTAAAAATAATGAATGACTAATCAAAAGCTAAAAGTCGCCAAATGCTAGCCATCAGCTAAAATTAGCAAAAACCTAGCTAAACATTTCAATTGCTAGCTAGAAGCAAAAAGAACCAAAAAAAAAAAATGATAAAAAGGCATAATGAAACAAAAACTAGAGAAAGACTCCCTATTTTAAAAAGATTATTTTTGAAGGAAATAAAAAAGTGTGATTATAAATAAAGTACAAATGTTTTGAAAAGTACCAAGTTACAAAAACAACAAGTCGTGGCACCCACCTCCTGAGTGCGCTGAACTTATTTTGACGCATGTACGGCTAAAATCGCACAATGTATGTAGACGTAGTTAGACTTCAAAACCCTACGGAAAAATACAAAGCTGGAAAATAATAGTGTAAAAGCTGAATCGCACAATAATACACACAAACTGTCACAGTTACACAAAGAAGTACACAACGCCTAAACGTGTACAGACAAAGAGTGGTGGTTGTTCTCGCTCTGCGTACTTTCTTGTTTATTTAGCGCACATTGCTAATCTAGCTCAACAACCACAAACCGTTTCTTACGTTGTTAAAACAGTTTGCGCGGACCCAGTGTTGGGAAGTACTGAGCACATCCAATAAGTTGTAGTTTCTTATGTGACGTCAAAAATGACTATATCGCAAATATATTTACAATTTAACAGCTGGTTTTTTTTTAGCCTCTGGATCCAGTTCAGTGAGTTTGGCTTTTCCCAGGCACCTCGAATGCATCGCTGTCTAGCAGACACTCTTTTTAACGGAAGCTAGCAAGCATTCGGAGCGTAAGCTAGCAGGTGAACCATGTGTTTCTGAAAGAACAAAACTGGATCTTTTATCTGCGAGTGTTTGAGACAAATGCTCCAGCAGTTGCCTGATAACACCGATCATCCGTCCATGCCGCCTGGTGCCCATTGTGGACGTGCCTTGCAAGTCGAATCATTTTCATACCCATCAATAACCTGCACGTGTGTCACTTTGTTTTTTTTTTTTTTATAATGCCGACGTTTTTAAAAACTTTTTTCTTCACTAAGTCGAGTTTTTTCCATCAGCCTCGGAGGTCCAAACACATTTTAAAGTGTCCCCTTTGCAAAAAAAATAAATCATGTTAGTGAGGATGGGGCCTCAGTGTTCTCAGATGCTTCCAGCTACATAACTCCACACCGTCCCCCCCCACAGCTCTTGTCGGCGCATTAGTCTGTCAGCGGTGAAATGGTTGAGGTCGACAGGCTACAGGAAGGCGGCAGGAGACAGGTGCTGAAGAGGCTTCGCTAACTGATGGCGCTGCAGATACGCTGAGAGCCTGAGAGGAGACGAAGCGCTGGTCATTGGAGAGCAGGATCCGGTTCCACAACAGCCCCCTCCTCCCGGGTCACTGACAGCCCCTGTCGGCCCGCTCAACATATATCTCTCTCAGTTGTCCCGTGCCTCTCCCACTCTTGCTGCCACCTGTTGCTGTTTTAAGAACCTCTCGTGTTATCAGCTCTTTTCTGTCGCCATTTTATACTCTCTTACTTCCGTGTCGGCCCTCTTTATCTTTTTCCTCTCCCCTTCATGGTTTTTAACCCCCGTGTGGGGGTTGTGGTGCGAGTGCAGCAGCTGCTCGTGCTCTCCGTTCCGAACCTCTCATGTGTAGTTCCTGCCAGCCCTTTTAAGCGGACCTGCTCTCATCGCTCGTATTCCTCAAACACGTCGGCTCCAGGTTTAGAAGCGAGTTTAGAAGTTTGGAAATGTGTCGGTTTGAATGGAGGAAGCTCCTCGAATGAGAAGGAAGATTTCATAGCTTTTTACAGACAACAAATTGTAAATAATATATAGGCTGCTGGAACATTTGAGCCCCCTGCTGCTGCCGTGTGTGTCCAAACCACTAGCTGACTCCTTATTTCATGGGCAAGTTAAAGGCTTGGCATTCCTTGAAGGATTGCTTATTATCCACAACTTTTCCTTGACAGAGTTTTTATACACTGGTCAACACGACGACGTATTATCATTAGGCCTGTCGCAATAAACAATAAATCAATTAATCAATTAATCGCATGATAAATGAAAATGATCAATCTTATTTTCATTTATCAGCTTTATCGTTTCTTGGTGTCTCTCTCTTTCTACTGAAGACACTGGATGACAAAATCTCAACTCCGGTGCTCTTCACTAACCTCTCCCATTCGCTTTTCTCTTTAAATTTTAAAAAAGAGAGACAGCCCATGTCATGTCAAAGGGCCTCCCTCCCATTTTTCTTAAAGAGACACGCTGCTCTCTCTCTCACTATCCATCCTTTGGTTCAAACAGTCTTATGATGCCATCCAGTGGTCAAAAAAGGTACTACATGCAAAAGAAATTTCCCAACATTTCTTCCTAAATTTGACAATTATTACTAATGTCAAATTTCAAACAATATTATCGTTTATCGCAATAATTTCTGAGACGATTAATCACCCAGCAAAATTCGTTCTCGTGACAGTTCTAATTATCATATAGTCTCAATACGTCGGTAAACATTCTCTTGTAATGCCCATAACTTCTGATCTGTTCAAGATAATTTAACAACACTTTATATAGACCCGGCTCCAGAAGAATTTAGCTGGGGGTGGGGGTGGGGGGCTGAGGACTATTTTTTGGGGGCCCAGTAAATAATCATTTTACTTTATAGAAATAATCATTTTACTTTATAGAAATACATATAATAAATAAACAAGTTAATGTTACATAAATAAACATTTATGTAACCTTGCAACTGAAATAACCATATGTTGTTTATTAATACAAAACGAATAAGTTAAACAGTGACATCTAGTCACCAGAAGATGCTGAGAAATTGTGCTCATGTTCGCATAAACAATTTTTGCATAAATCTTAGAAACTAGCACCACATTACAGGTGCTGGTCATAAAATTAGAATATCATGAAAAAGTTGATTTATTTCAGTGATTCCATTAAAAATGTGAAACTTGTCTATTTTATTCATTCATTACACACAGACTGATATATTTCAAATGTTTATTTCTTTTAATGTTGATGATTATAACTGACAACTAATGAAAACCCCAAATTCAGTATCACAGAAAATTAGAATATTGTAAAAAGGTTCATTATTTAAGATACCTAGTCTAATCAGCTAATTAACTCAAAACACCTGCAAAGGCCTTTAAATGGTCTCAGTCTAGTTCTGTAGCTACACAATCATGAGGAAGACTGCTGACTTGACAGTTGTCCAAAAGACGACCATTGACACCTTGCACAAGGAGGGCAAGACACAAAAGGTCATTGCTAAAGAGGCTGGCTGTTCACAGAGCTCTGTGTCCAAACATTAATAGAGAGATGAAGGGAAGGAAACAACATGGTAGAAAAACTGTACAAGCATTAGGGATAACCGCAACCTGGAGAGGATTGTGAAACAAAACCCATTCCAAAATGTGGAGGAGATTCACAAAGAGTGGACTGCAGCTGGAGTCGGTGCTTCAAGAACCACCACGCACAGATGTATGCAAGACAAGGGATTCAGCTGTCACATTCCTTTTGTCAAGCCACTCTTGAACAAGAGACATCGCCTGGGACTGCTGCTGAGTGGTCCAAAGTTATGTTCTCTGATGAAAGTAAATTTTGCATTTCCTTTGGAAATCAAGGTCCCAGAGTCTGGAGGAAGAGAGGAGAGGCACAGAATCCATGTTGCTTGAGGTCCAGTGTCAAGTTTCCACAGTCACTGATGGTTTGTTGGGCCATGTCATCTGCTGGTGTGGGTCCACTGTGTTTTCTGTGGTCCAAGGTAGGGGTGGGCGATATGGTTCAAATATAATATTGTGATATTTCAGAGCATTCTGACGATAACCATAAATTTTGCGATATAAAAAAAACAGAAATCATAGTTATTTATTTGACAAAATTAACATAACATGTTGTTTTCCAGTAGTACATAAAATAAAAAAAAACAAGGGGTAATTTTACTGAAATTACTTTATTTAGTAAAGTATTCAATCTCCAAGTATAAAAATAAAATGATCCTTCTGTTATTTAGATTGAAAAAGTCTGCACAAATAGATCAATAAATCCACCACAAAAACTAAAGTGCAGGTGAAGTTTCCCCAAAATAACTAAATAAAATGAAGTTTATGATCTGTTGAGCATAAATGTAACAAAATATATATGTTGCCTTTAAATGAGC